CCAACAAAGAAAAGAGCAGAAATATAGGTAGTTAAAAATACCAATCGGAAACCCGCGAGTCTTCACGTACTACCAAATGCTCCCCAAAGTTACTACCAAAAGCTAATTCCCAAAGAGATTTCCCAAAGTTACGTCATCGAAATATGCTTCGCGCATAGCAAGGTCCAGAATTATTCCAGCAAGCTGTTCACAAAACTGCTCCCCAAAATTCTTCCCGAAATCTATTCTCCAAAGCTGGTCCCCGAAGCTGCCCCAGAGCAGCTCTCCACAACCCCAAAGCTAGTCCCCAATGCTGCTGTTCCCAAAAATGCTCCGGAAAGCAACTCCCTAAAATGATTCAAAATTGCTTGTAAATAAGTGAAGAAAAAATTGTCCAAAATTGTTCTTAGAGCTGTTCATGGACAGCAGGTATTACCCAAAAGTTGCGATTCTTCAAATTTATACCCCAAATTCCCGAAAGTTGCTCCCCAAAGTTGCTACTAAGAGCTGCTCCCCGAAGTGGCTTGTAAAGTTGTCAAAGTAATTAATTAATCTTCAAAATTGTTCCGGAAAGCTTGCCAAAGATGCTCCCTAAAGTCCCCGAAGCTGCTTCCCAAAGTTGTTCCCCAAAGCACCTTTGCAAAGCGGTTGCCCCAAAGCGGCTATGCTTCAAACCTATTCCCCAAAGCTATTCTCCAAAGTGGCTCCCGAAAGCTGCTCCCCAAAATTGCTGCCGAAAGCTGCTCCCCAAAGTTGCGTTCACAAAGGTGTTCTCCAAAGCTGAAGTTCTTCAAAGCTGCCGTGCAAAGCTGCTCCTCAAAGCTCCTCCCTAAAGCTGCTCCACAAAGCTGTTCCCCGGCGCTGCTCCCCACAGTTGTGCCCAAAGCTGTTCTCCAAAGCTGTTGCCCCAAAGCTGCGGAAAGCTGCTACCCAAAGTTGCTGCCGAAAATTGCTCCCCCAAGTTGCGTTCTAAAGCTACTCCCCCAAGGTGTTCCCCAAAGCTGCAGTTCTTCAAAGCTGCCGTGCAAAGCTGCTCCTCAAAGCTGCTCCCTAAAGCTGCTCCCCAAAGCTGTTCCCCGGCGATGCTCCCAAAGTTATGCCCAAAGCTGTTCTCCAAAGCTGTTGCCCCAAAGCTGCGATTCTGCAAACCTGTTCACCAAAACGTCTCCCCAAAGCCATTCTGCAAAGCGGCTCCCGAAAGCTGCGCCAAAGTTGCTACCTGCCCCCGAAAATTGTTTCCGAAAGCGGCTTCCCAAAGTGTTTCTCAAGCTAATCCCAAAGCTGTCGTTCTTCAAAGGCAATTCCGTCAATTGCTCCTCCAAACCGCAAAGTTGCTCCCCAAAAGTGCTCTTCAAAGTGCTACCAACGTCCCAAAGCTCCCAAAACTCAATGCTGCTGCCCGAAGCTGCCAGCTGGTCTGGAAAGCTGTCCAAAGTTGCTCCCCAAAGCTGCTACCCAAAATTTTTCCCCGGCGCTGCTCCCCAAAGTTGTGCCCCAAAGCTGTTCTCCAAAGCTGTTGCCCTAAAGCTGCGATTCTGTACCCAAAACGGCTCCCCAAAGCCATTCTGCAAAACGGCTCCCGAAATCTGCGCCTCAAAGTTGCTACCAGAAGCTGCTGTCCAAAGCTATTGCCCCAAAGCTGCAACCTTTCAAACCTATACACCAAAACGGCTCCCCAAAGCTATTCTGCAAAGCGGCTCCCGAAAGCTGCTCCCGAAAGTTGCTACTGAAAGCTGCTCCCCGAAGTTGTTTGTAAAGCTGCCCCGGAAAGATGCGGTTCTGCAAAGCAATTGTTCCTGAAAGTTGCTCCGGACAGCTTGCCAAAGCTGCTCCCCAAAGCTATTGCCCGAAAGCTGTGATTCTTCAAACCTATACCCTAAAACGTCTCCCCAAAGCTATTCTGCAAAGCGGCTCCCGAAAGCTGCTCCCGAAAGTTGCTCCCCGAAGTGGTTTGTGTACAGGCAGATCGTAATATAATATTAGTAATAATAAATTGAGGACATGTCGTTATAGATTGCGGCTTGCAATTCTTGGGGCGCAACAGTGAACAGCCATGCGGTCTACACCGACCGAGGGCACCATCACAGGGTTAACATGACTAAATGTGTAGGCATATGAAAATATCCGACTGGTTAAAGCTACTCCCCAAAGCTGTCGTTCTTCAAGGCAACTTTCCGTCAATGCTCCTCCAAACCGCAAAGTTGCTCCCCAAAGCTGCTCTTCAAAGTTGCTACCAAAACGTCCCAAAGAAGCTCCCCAAAACTCCAATGCTGCTGCCCGAAGCTGCCAGCTGGTCTGGAAAGCTGTCCAAAGTTGCTCCCCAAAGCTGCTACCCAAAGCTGTTCCCCGGCGCTGCTCCCCAAAGTTGTGCCCCAAAGCTGTTCTCCAAAGCTGTTGCCCTAAAGCTGCGATTCTGCAAACCTGTTCACCAAAACGGCTCCCCAAAGCCATTCTGCAAAGCGGCTCCCGAAAGCTGCGCCTCAAAGTTGCTACCAAAAGCTGCTGTCCAAAGCTATTGCCCCAAAGCTGCAACTCTTCAAACCTATGCACCAAAACGGCTCCCCAAAGCTATTCTGCAAAGCGGCTCCCGAAAGCTGCTCCCGAAAGTTGCTACTGAAAGCTGCTCCCCGAAGTTGTTTGTAAAGCTGCCCCCGGAAAGATGCGGTTCTGCAAAGCAATTGTTCCTGAAAGTTGCTCCGGACAGCTTGCCAAAGCTGCTCCCCAAAGCTATTGCCCGAAAGCTGCGATTCTTCAAACCTATACCCTAAAACGTCTCCCCAAAGCTATTCTGAAAAGCGGCTCCCGAAAGCTGCTCCCGAAAGTTGCTACTGAAAGCTGCTCCCCGAAGTGGTTTGTGTACAGGCAGATCGTAGTATTAGTAGTATAAATTGAGGACATGCCGTTATAGATTGCGGCTTGCAATTCTTGGGGCGCAACAGTGAACAGCCATGCGGTCTACACCGAGGGCACCGCCACAGGGTTAACATGACTAAATGTGTAGCCATATGAAAATATGAGATTGGTTTGGTCGTGTAACTTCATTCCGCTAGCTTTTTCCAATGCAAAGTCAGCGGCACCAAAAAGACACTCGTACCCACGACCAGCAAGCTTGAAATATCTGTGGGCCCTATAGTGAATTCAAGAGAGGGACAGTCGTATGCGGTAAATTCAAAATAACGGAAACGCAACACGAAAGTTCCCAAAGTTTGTATTCGTGAAAAGTCCCAAAGTTGTGGCAGATTTTTGGGAAAATTGGGCTCGGGGTGAAAATAAACTATAGCCAGAAACACCCCAAAAAATCATTCCTTAGTTTTGGGTAGCCTTATGCATGTGAAAGTCCCAAAATAGTGGCACATTTTTGGGAAAATTGGGCCCGGGGTTAAAGTGCCAAAACTGTGGCGAACTCCGCACGCGCGCCAAATTCAGGAGACACATGTTCAAACTCAACTGAAAGACTTACCGAGCGACAGTGGACCAGGGGGAATCGAACCCCCGACCGACCCTGACCGACATTTGTGTAGTGGGGCACTGATTGGGGAGAAGATAAATTTTCCCAAAAAAACATCAATTTTTTGGGAAAATCAAATTTGATTTTCCCAAACAAGTAGTAAATTTTCGACCTCCGAGCAGGGGGCTCAGGAAGCACAGGCTTAATTTGTATTCGCACAGACTAAGTTTGTATTCGCCAATTTTCCCAAAAATGTGGCAGATTTTTGGGGAAATTGGCCTCGGGAAACTGCGCGCGCGCTCTGTATAAGGCCAGATCGTAATATTAGTAGTAATATATTGTATATTTTTGAAATTTATATATAATATAAAGTAAATATAGATACAAATAATAAAAAAAATATATATAATAAAAATCATTGTATCCAGTGAATACCTGCATTAAAAGATCATGAAGGCACAGTTAATCTAGTCCAGAGATCATTGTGTCCAGTTGGCATGTGCCTTAAGAGATCATGACATCTCATTCTTACTAGCCCAGAGATCATTGTGTCCAGTAGGCACCTACCTTTAGAAATCATGACCCCGCGGCGTTTCAACGCATTGCCCGTCCGAAAGGGGATGATGCCAACCTCTGAGTTAATAAGAATTTCGTCCTAATGAATATAAATGCACGCAATGTAGCGAGTGACAATGACACCCAGTAATGTTCAGGATAGATAGTACCAATTCCAGGAAACAGAGCCAGTGCGGTTAATAACCAATAAAAATGGTGCAGATCAAGGTATCCAGGCAATACGATAATCTAAGCTAGAAGCCAAATGATACCAATCGGAGATTGTAACCAATGAAAGACTCTACGAAACCACCAATAGAGAGCGAAGCGGAAATGCAATCTTTTCACAGCGTGCCACTCAAGATACTTGAGCCAAAACACCATTTGGCATGGTAGAAATCAGTGCTGCATTCCTCACACAAACTGTTTGTAAATTCCATGTGTCTGGTAGAAAGCATCCTTCCACTTTACATATCAAGATGCACCAGTACACGTGATCAATGTAGTTGGTAAATAGATGTCAAGGGATGTTCCTCCTCGACATCAAGTAATAAATATTGATAAACCTCCCATTCATTTGACAATTTTAGCATGTATTTTCATAGGCTATAGGTATAGCATAGATATAAGAATTTAATTTCCATACAATTTTTTCAACATGTCGAACATCGATGATCAACATTTTTTCGCAATTCATAGTCACGTTTCCGAACTTTAAAAATATTCAAACTTTAGCCAATAAGAACAGATTTGGTTGGAGACTTGTTGCTCCATCCGAATTTTGGTCAACGCGCTCAGCTGGTCTTCTGTTTCTTGGAGTTTGGCTCCATCCTCTCCACAGCTTCAGTGATATATCCTTTCAACTCGTCATATGTTGTGACAACCGGAATCTCCTTAGTTCCAATCCCGATTAAATCCTGGCTGGAAATCGCACTGAGTCTTGCATAATGCGCCGACAGTCCAAGTTGCTGGATGTTCTTTCTTCACAGCCTCTGAAGGCCTGTAAAGAACACCCTTCTCGGCAGCATGAATCCTTGATTCTACACTCGCAACAAGAGCGCGCAAACACTTGAAACGGGCGGTGGAAGAAAGGTAGTCCATGAGGCTTATTTCAAAGAGTTGTCCGGCGTCGTAGATTGAGAGGCACACGATGAGGACTGACATATACATGAATGATGCAGCCAACTTTTTCTGGACATGACACAATAGTGCGCGAAAAGAAAGAAACTTTGCAGGATCTCGTTTTCAAAGTGGGGGACCCCAAGAAAAGACAAACACATCTGCAGCTGGAATTGCCAAAAACACAGGAACCAACCAGACCTTCTCTCAGACTAACAAGCCAGCAGCATATCAATGTCGTTGAAGGAGTTCCCAACTGCAATGATGCGGAAATTCAATCGCTGCAATTCCTGGCAAAATTGTCAATCTCATGGGAAAAGCTATGATCAACGTTAACTACCGAATTTCGGGTACCCCGTCAAACAAAAGATGGGTACCCCAAATGTGCATGATGCACTGTCCTGCACTGTCTTCAGCTTCTGGCTCCTGAGGCGCGTGATGAGCCTCAATGCACATAGATCGCTGCAAACAAACTGAATCATGCAACAAAACAACTAAAGACATAACCAAGACGTAAATATTTTTTGCTATAGCATGACATAACAAGCTAAAAACAAAGAGTGCCAGGCACACAAGCACACACACACATATAATATATATAGAATAGACTCATGTATATGTGTATAAACATATGTGTATATATGTATATGTATATATGGTCCCGTGTCTCGTGTTCACGGCCCCCCTCCCCCCCATATGGCATGGGGGGTTACCTCCTCCCACACACCCACCCCCCGTAACCTACTTTAGGGAACGTGTCTACACAATGCATGACAGTTTGCATACATGTGACATGCTCACTTTAACTCATATATACCACTGCGCCACTCCGTGGCTCAAGACTTGCTCGCATAGCAGGAAAATAGAGTGTAGCGTGCCGCCGCGTTGACCACAAGTGTTCAAACGACTTAGTCTAGATCTAGGGCCCCTGAATACCGGGGATTGCTACCTCAAAGTGGTAGCGGAGCTTGTGACTTGCCAAGATCCAATATTCGGAGTGCAGTAGCCTTTAGCATCTGCGCCGATATCCGGACTTGCGAAGGCAACTTGTAGGTCAACTCCGAACAGCTGCCATGGTCTTAATCCATAATATGGACCCAGAGGAAGAACAACTCCAAATTGTTGCATATGAAGAGCCTGAAGCCTTTGCTGCCAGTCACGCCGATAACCGGCAAGGCATGAAAATGACTCCTAAGGTACCTCCACAATTTGATGGCCAATCAAGCTGGTTTGAATATGAAGACTTACTTGATGACTGGCTCGGTATCACGACATTCGATGCAGACAAGCACGGACCGTCTCTTAAGAATGCCCTTGTAGGATCAGCTTCTTTTTACAAGTCGATGCTCGACAATGCCCTACTCCGAGATCCGGATCGTGGCCTCGCCCATTTCAAGGACACATTGAGACCCTACTTCCTGAAGGGAGTAAATCATGTGTTCTCTTGGCGATTCCTCCAGATGTTTCGCACATATCGAGGCCATGCCCCAATCCAATGCGCCCGCGTGCTGAAGGATCCCTTCTTCCAAGCCAAAGTGAGACCCAGTGCCTGCCAGAGGAGAAGAACTTTGGATGCTATGTCTCGCACTTGTTGCGGGGTTCCTCGCAAAACTGCCAATGGGTCATCAACAAACACCTGCATGCGAAGGCGGTCTGGGTGAAAACAACTCTGTGTACATCTTGCCCGCAAGGCGGCAAGGCGACACCACACCAGGGGGCCTGTCTTTATGCCAAACAGCACACGGTGGAAATAAAAATGTCCATCCATTGCCCTACCAGAAAGAAACCGCTTTTCAGACTCACGAACTGGAAGCTGTTTGAAGGCGTCGGAAAAGCCCAACCTCAAAAGATAAACTTCCTCACCAGGTTCCTTATGGACCAGCCTCTCTCTGAGCACAATGTTCTCATTTACATTGGATCTGCGCAAGTCATGCACCAAACGGAGTTTTTGGGTTGGAGGCTCGCCCTTGTATTTGACGACAACCCGAATTGAAGACATAACCAGAGTGCCCACCTGTTGTTCCAGATGGTGCCTGTTGACAGACCATTCAGCAAAGCCTTTGTCCCTTTCAGTTTTGAACAGTTCATCCGCTTCGGACTTGTTCTCCTCATACGATCTGTAGTTGCCGTCCGCACCAGCCAACTGTGCAATTGCAGAAACGCGTTGCTGCTCTGCTATGTCATTTTCGGAAATAAATGGAAAAACGTTGCCAATCGGAATCTCTTCACAAATGCCCAGTGGGGTACCCAGGGTTGGCCAAGACGCAGCATGACTATCTGGGTCACCACTCATTTCAACAAGCTTTGAAAGAGCCTCGCCCCAGATTCCTTGTCCAGGGTAGTCTTTATCCAGATGAAGCAGATCGCTGAGGCTCTTGCGAAGGTAGGCCAGTTCTTCGCTGAAATCGCGAGTGTGCTCTTTTCCAATATCATCCATCAACCATGGCTTCAACATGCGGGAACTTTGCACCTAGCTCATCAAGTAGGTGGAATAATTTGCTGCCCACGTCTGGCCAACCTTGTATCATCGCCACTGATTTGTGCGGATTGTGCAGGCCACCAACGCAGCAGTCGTTTTCTTGCTCTTTGCGCCACTTATCTGACATCCAATTCTGCTCAGCTTTTCCGTCTCTTCGGAGAGTGGGTTCAACAAGGTTGCGACATGGGTGTTGTTCCACATAGCGCTCAAAACTCTTGGCCAAAACAGTGCGCAATCCTTGAGGATATTCGGCTGCCAGTGATGTGTGCCAAACCCAGGTACCTAAGTAATCCTTTACCAAACCTTCCAGAGGTGGGTGTCTGTGACTACTTGTCTTGGGGCACGTTTGCACCACCACATCTACATGTTCTGCATTTGTAAGCCATCCAGTCGGCTTAGCATATTCGCAACCAAAGCAACATTGATCACCATATTTCAACTCCACGCCAGGCAGGTTCAACAATCTTGCAACGGGGTTGTACAACCACATGTAGGATCGTCTAGGGTTTTCAATGCTGAAAAGTCCGCCAGCCTTCCACTGCAACATGCATAATTGAGCTGCCTTAGACGCGAGAAGGTTGCCCTCCTTGACTGCACTGTGGAGGGGCTTGAGGCCTCCAGGGAACTTTGGTGTCCTTATCTTTCTTTCAGGCGAGCATGCTTGTCTCGCCTACGTGCCCGGCTGCCATGCATTTGGATGCTCTTGAACTCGTGCACGGAATTCCGCTGCATAGCGATCGAGTACTGCCGAGCTCGCCACCTCCAACATCAAGCACGCCGTGCGGAATACGCGCCATGACTCATTCCAAGCTCTCAGGCTTGTGGCGCCCGGGGCTTCCGCAGGCTTCCACTGGCCGTCCCTCCGAAGTTGAGCAATGAATTTCATTGTTCTGGCAATTCTTTCACCGTATGGGCCCCAAACGCCCATATCAACAAATGGGCTCCGGCTCATGTGCTGGCAAATTTTTGCGTGCAGGCATGAAAGCTGGGAATCTGTCACTTCTTCTCTTTCTAAGGGTATCCCCTTCCACAGTGACATGCCTCTGACGACAAGCAAGCAAGGTAGCATGGTCAAGCTGCCCCACCTCCAAGTCACATCCTTGGTCGATGACCTGGCTGAGCTTGATCTTCACCTTGGTGCCTCCACCTGTGCCCAGACTAGACGCAGGAGCTGGCGGCGGTGACATAGACGTGGCTCTTCCAAACTAAAGGCCGGGGCCCCAAATTTTGCCTTGATTGCATTCACCATCAAAGCCAGCTGTGCAACCTCAATGGAACTTAATGCCCGTCCTCCTCGGGTAGCAGCAAACATGGCGTTCTTGAGAACATCATTCGGCAGCACAGCCAGGATTTGCATCGATGAAAGCCCCGGATCACCCAATTGGCGAAACATGGCTCGAGCTAATCCGTCATCCACCCCACCCCAGGACACTGCTTCCCCAAGAACCGTCCTGCCATCCAGCACCTCGCGGCTCGGAAGCAGTGCCCTGGACATGGGCATGTCGACTGGAACCACTCTCATCCCCCCTAAAATCAAAGGGGGAAAACTTGAAATCAAATGGCTATGAGCCAAAATGGTGATGATTTCACTCAAAATTGTTTCTTCACACAAAAATGTGTTCCACCACGTTTCACTGCAGAGCATAAGCTTATGCAAGTTCAAGAGTTTTGCTGCATGTTCCGACACGAAGAAAATTTGTGTCTGTTTTGTAACCTACTTTAGGGAACGTGTCTACACAATGGATGACAGTTTGCATGCATGTAACATGTTCACTTTACTTCATATTTACCACTGCGCCATTCCGTGGCTCAAGACTTGCTCGCATAGCAGGAAAATAGAGTGTAGCGTGCCGCCGAGTTGACCACAAGTGTTCAAATGATTTAGTCTAGATCTAGGGCCCCTGAATACCGGGGATTGCTACCTCACCCCACACCCCATCACCCCCTGTAACCCATTTTTAGGGACATGTCTACACAACGTATATACAATTTGCATACTATGTTCACCCTAATTCATTTGATCCACTGCGCCACTCCGTGGCCCAAGACTTGCTAGCATAGCTGCATAAAAATGTGGTGCACTCCGACTGTGTGACCACAAGTGTTCGTAGCTTCTAGCTTAGATCCAGGGCTCCCAAATACCGGGGAATTCCGCCTCAAAGTGGTAGCGGAGCTCTGTGCCCTGCTCAGGTCCGATATTCGGACACTAGTTGCTTCTTGCACTTGCACCGAGATACGGACTAGCAAGGGCAGCTTGTGGCACAACTCCGAGTAGTTGCCATGGTCTTAATCTTAATCCACAGCATGGATTCAGACGAAGAACTCCAAGTTCACGAAGGCCCCGCTTCACCGAGAAGACTGCAGCTCCATCAGTGGAATGCTACTTCATCCCGCTATGTTTAATGTTATATAACTAATGCTTGCTGCCCACACCAGTTCATGTGGGTTCCGCTGCATCTTGACGGTGTAGCTTGTGCCAGCAAAGCACCAAATCTCAATTGGCTCTCGTTGTACTCTGCCCACGATTTGGCAGCGCTCGGCCGTAGCTCGACACAGCAACGCGCTGCGAATTGGACCACCGGGTGGTTGCAGGCGATGGCTTCGTGATGATAAGCTGAAGAGCTTTGCAGAACATGCTTAACTTAAGTGATGATAGGTTGTAAATCTGAAAATGGTTCTCTTCCCTTGCTTCAAATGGACGCCCGTCACATAGACACAAGCCTTTTTTCTCTCTTCTGTCTGGCTTCAAGAGGGCCACCTGCGCAAAATGCTTTCTGCCAGCTCGGCCATGGGCAAAGCTCTGTGGCTCTTCAAGGCATCTGCAATATGCACCAAATTGAACTTTCGAGCTTCGCTCAAAGTCACTAGATTGGATTCCACGGCCACCAAGGCAGCCAAGGTCTTTTTGAAGCTGTCGCTCTCGAAGCGCTTCACCAACTTGCACAGGGCCACGGCTCTTGCCTGCCCATCTAGCAACGGCGCCTCGGTAGTATCTGGTTTCAGTCCTTTGCGGAACAGCTCCAGGCAAGCTCCTTCTGCTCATCTGCTTTTGTCTTCCGATCAGCTGCCTTTTTAGCAACTTTGCTGCGAATCGCATCCATGGTCGACCAAGCGGATTCTTTTGGGCATCGCCACTGGCCGGTGAGGAGCTCATGTGGACAGCTCCCACGCTTGCTGAACGGTGAACCTTGATAGCTTGCAAGTTTCAAGAGCCAAGTCCTGCCATCTTGTAGAGGAAAAAAATAATCCCGAAGTAAAAAAAACCCAAAGGAAGTTTAGAAGTCTATACTTCCGTGTAACGGGTTTTTACCACTATCACTATCAACACTATCACTATCACCACTATCACTATCACCACCATCACCACCACAATCACAAGCTGTGAAAATATGAGAAGAGGGGAAATAAGCTGAGATGAGATGACATGGGATGCGACCAGACGACCTGACAGCAAAAGAGTGGTGAAGAGCCGGGAAGAGCTGAGTTGAGACAAGCTGCATAGAATGGAGAAGCTGAGAAGAGCTGAAAAGAGAAGAGTTCAGATGAGCTGGGAGGAAATGAGAAAAGCTCAGGTGACATGAGAAGACATGAGAACAGTTGTGATCAGCTGAGAGCCGAGAAAGGGGCAGAGACATGAGATGGCCCCCGGCTTGCCCGGGAACTACTTGTAACGTTGAGCATGACGATGATGATGAGGAGGACGCATTTACGGCCTAGAGTAGCCTTTTCCTTTTGTCTTTGGACCGCGTTTCACAGCAGAGCATAGGGGGAATTCCGCCTCACCCCTCCACCCCACCACATCCACAGGGGGGGAGGGATACATAGACATATGCATATACACGTACATATACATACTGTATACATTTGCACATATACATACTACATACGTACACACACGCACATGTATGTATGTATATATATATGTGTGTATCTACATAATTATATAACTTACATAATATACATACAGGGACCATCACCATCTCGGGGGGAGGGGGGGAGCACCACCAGACGCTGGGCTATATACTGTATATATATATATATAAGTATACGCGTACATGTGCGTACATCTGCGTACATATATGCGTGTGTATATATATATACACATGTAGTGTACATGCATGCCAACAGATTGCGTGCTTCATGTTGACCAAGTTGTGTCGTTTCTGCCGGGGCCTCTTCAGGAAGCCTTCATCATCAGCCTCGAAGAAGTTGCAGAAAACCATCGGGTGCTCCAGCTGGTCAAAAATTGGCAGGGCATACTCCTTAGGGGCCGATGTGGAAAGTCTAGCTCCTTGGCTCCCCATTTCGAGAATATGGATGCGATTGGATACCCATAGCTCCTGTGCTTTTTGACAACCAAAGGATTGCTCCAGAAAAATGCTCTTGCAAGAACTGCGTCTGCGTGATTCAAAACTTCATGCAAATCAGCTGCCTCTGGCCCATCAGTGATCATAAATGTTCTCGGAACAATTGGTTTCCTTGGGCACTTTGAAGCGTGAAATTCGACAAAGAGCATGGATGAATATCCTAGCGCCTGCCTCCCTCCATACCTGTCTGCCTGTCTCTTCTGCTTGCCTCTCAGGGTGTTTTGAAAGTGGCATTCAATCTCTTCGACTACCAGTCTCTTACCACAAACCCCGGGTGACAAAACAACAAGTGCAAAAAGCATGAGATTCCTCTTCGCCATCAGCTCTAGCGACTCTAGCGGCCCCAGCGTGTTAACATCCATAGATCATAGATCCATAATATAATAGAACAAGAATAGTCAAAACCCTGAAGCACCAACAGTGGGTTGTGTAGGTAAAAACGGCATCAGCATGCACTGCTTAGCAAGTTTGCAGCACTCCGTCTCAAGATAGATAAACTGCATCTGGTAGAAATGTGCCGCAAAGGCACAGCCATTCCAAGAATTGTGTGGCGCCAGGCAAGAGCTGGAGACCATCCATGATGTCCACCTACAAACACAACGGGATATCAGCGAGGAAGCAACGATTGATTACAGAAAGCAACTGGTTGAACAGAGCGTGGATGGTTCGTGTGCAAATGACATTTAAGTTCTTGTCCAGGAACTCAAACTAATTAAATTGAACGTGACGGCCGGGTGACTGTAGCTAAGCTCATTCAAAACTCCCAGCCAGCCATCGGCTGTGATTCAGTATGTTGTTTCGAGGGTTGGCTGAATGTCATGATTTTTTTTTGTCTTAGCTATCAGCTGAGAGTCAAAACCAACCTTGCAAGACACATCCATATACATCCATTGTTCACACACACATATGTATATATATATATATGTATGTGTATGTATATGCATATGTATATGTATATGTATATGTATATATACATGTGTGTATGTATGTATATGCATATATATATATACATGTGTGTGTATGTATATGCATATGTATATATAGCCTCGTCCCCGCTTCTGGAACCGCGCAAACCTGAATTAGGTTGGTAAAACTTGTCCATTCCGTGACGAAATTTCGTCGCGGAATTAACAAGTTCATTAGGGTCATTATCATCATCATCATCATTATCATTATCATCATCATCATCATCATCATCATCATCATCTTCATCATCATCATCTTCATCATCATCATCATCATGATAATGATGATGATGATGATGATAATGACCCTAATGAAACTTGTTAATTCCGCGACGAAATTTCGTCACGGAATGGACAAGTTTTACCAACCTAATTCAGGTTTGCGCGGTTCATGAACGTTAACATCCTGCCGCAAGGTCACATGAACGTTAACATCCCACCCCACCCCCCCCACCCCGCATGTGCGTAGCATCCACTGCTGCCGCAAGTTCACATGAACGTTAACATCCTGCCGCAAGGTCACATGAACGTTAACATCCCACCCCACCCCACCCCCCCCACCCCATGTGGTTCCAGAAGCGGGGACGAGCCTATATATACATGTGTGTATATATATATATATATGTATATGTGTATATGTGTGTGTATATTTGTATATGTGTATATGTGTATATGTATAGAGAAGCCATAGCTGCCATAGCTGGGCCCACCATCCCCTCTGTCAAGCTACAAAAACAAATCCAAGGTGCAATCTGCTGCAGCTTCACACCATTCGTGCGCAAAGCAGAAGACCGAAGGGCCATCAACTTGGTGTAATCTGGCTCCTTGCATCAAACTGGTCATGGAACAGTTGGAATGTGGCGAAGTGCATTTACTTGCTCCTACATGAAAGCATTGCTCCGAGTTACCTGAGCCGTCGTCACCCTCAACTCGGGGATCCTTGTACCTCATTTGAATACACACATGTCAAGATGGTTTCTCTGGCCACGGAAGAAGTGAATTTGCAGCAATATTTCTTGAAGCCGAGCTACTCTCCTGTACAGCCAGCCAAGGTTCAGGCGCCAAGAAACCAGCAACGTTGCAAACGAGGAGCCACCTAAATCATTGCGGTACAAGGCATAAGGCAGTTGCAAGACACTGGTACGAAGTGTTCATGTTGGAATATAGATTGTATTCGGAACGGATACCGCATACCGTACAGCGTATATGTATGTATATATATATATACACATATATATATGCACATATATTTATACATACATATAAATACATGTATATATATAAATATATATATAGATATGCGACTTGCCCATTGTCCCCTCACAATTCTCCAAACCTGTAGCGGCAGATTTTGGTACCCAAGTGCCAACCATATGGTGTGAATCTTCTCTTATTCTATGCGGGAACATGTGCAAAGGACAACACTGGTGCACGCTGTCAACGATCTGCGCAAGCAAAGCACATGGTCCTCGAACCAGCGGTAGAGCTCAAAGGAGGTGGATCTGCTAGTCTCTTGGGCAGAATTTGCTTGTTAGCGCTGAGGATGCGACCAATCCTTACAAGAAGCGTGATAACTTTCAAAGTGGGAAACCTTAGAAACCTTCATCTGCGAATTCTAGAAACTTCATGAAACTTCTAGCACTTATATAATATATCATATCAATCATATCCAATTATTCTGGCTTTCAGTGCGTTTCACCTAGTGTGAAGCCAAGCCTCTTTGCCCGCAAATCGTTATGGTCCTTTGCCACAGGAAATTCTGGATGTGCCTTCCTCACCTTCTCCTCAAGGAAGAGTTGATCGTTACAGCAAGAACTTGGTCACTTAACAAGGTTTGTCAAAATCGTTCCAAGGTTTGCTAATCATTGCCCAAGTCTCTGAGGGGTATATCAAAATACCACGCTCAGCCGCTGTCAACATAGAGACATCCTTGCTGCACTTCGGCCCCAGGAAGCGATTTATGCTAACAAAAACAGTGTCAAATGACTGCCTTCGTTTTTCTGCATGTTGGAGCGCCGCCAATATATTCAGTTGCTTCAGAAAATTTGCGTCTCGTTGTGTGTGTGTGTGTGCAAGCTAGCCAAGTTTTTTCTTGCATGTATGATGGTACTTCCCACAGGGTGTCCTGGCAGGAGTTTGCTGTCAACCCTCTAATCAAAGTTGTTTCTGCTGAAGGGCAGTGGTGGACGCTAGATTCTGCCATTTGCATTAAGGTATTACCTGAAGCACTTCAAGGGCATACTGCCAAGTGGCCGAGACAGAGCTCTACAAGTCTACAATACAACCTTGACAAAGGATAGTTTCATGACACTGTTCAAAAAAGCGCTTCAAGCGCATACCGCATACTTCAAAGTGGCCAAAACAGACCTCTACAAGTTTGACACAGAATTAACATTCCTGACACCGTTCTATCTATATATATATGTATATATATATATTTTTTAAATAAGCGTTTCAAGCGCATACTTCCAAGTGCTGCCAAAACAAAGCGCTACAACTTCGACAAGGCATGACTTTCGTGACACTGTTCTGTTATTACGGCTTCAAGCGCGTACTTCCAAGTGTTGCCAAAGCAGAGCTCCTCAACTTTGACAAAGGATGACTGATGACTCCCATGACGCCTTCTATATAGTAAGCACTTCAAGAACATACTTACTTCCAAGTGTTACCAAAACAGAGCCCTACAAGTCCACAATCTTGCCAAAGGATGACTCTTGTGACCGTTCTACAAGCGCTTTGTGACACTTCCAAGTGTTGCCCAACAGAGGTTGACAACCTTAACAAAGGATGACTTTCCTGACACCCTTCTATAAGGACTCCAAGCGCATACTTCTACAACCTTGACAAAGGATGGCTTTCATGACACTGATGCTATTGTTGCCAAAACAGTGCCCTGGATGACTTTCGCTACAAGATTCTATATGCACTTCAAGCACATACTTCCAAGTGTTGCCAAAACAAAGCTCTAGAATCTAGAATCTTGACAATGGATGTGTTTGGGGACAGCTGCTCTATGTGCCCTCATTGCGTTTGCGGCAGAGGCAGTTCATTGCTGATGTACGTAAACAGTCTTACAGCCTTTTACCTGACGAGCATCATTGAAAGAATCTCCCACGGCAATGACTCGAAAGTTTAACCTCTGGAAGGATTCCACGGCTTTTCCTTAATTTGTCAAGTGCAGGTTCTCAACACATCAGTCAAAAGTAAAGATTTGTAAAGTGCATCATGTGTCTATTCAAACTAAGTCTCGCTTCTGATCCTTCAAACGGAGGATATGATCACAAATGAAGCCATCGCTGTCAACGACGAGTGAGTTGCAAAAGACGGAGGGGTAGCCAAGCTGTTCAAACATTGGCATGGCGTACTCCTCGAAGGTATCCTGGAGTTTCCACGAGCTTGCTCCGTGGCCATGCTTTCGCTGCGGCCAGCAGGTACGGTTCACACAGGTTCCCAACAGGTTTGGGGTCTTTGAGTTGATACCGCCTGGAATGGACCTGGAATGGACCTGGGAAATGTGTGGAAAAAAGTTTGGAACGCACTGATAACTAAAAGATCTGCAGGTCCCAACGGTCCGTTAGCAACAGGATGCGAGGCACCAAAGGCTTCAGCCAGTCCAGGAACTCTTTAGCACCAGGGAGTGGCTTTAAATCTTTGACGACCTCGATCATGTCCTCAGAAGATTCACCGATTTCCTGTCTACTCTGGACTGCACATCAGCATGTCCCCACTGATTTAACACAAGTCTTGGATTGATCGACGCCCTGGATGTCAGAACCATGAAACCAATTAACAAGCAAAGCACATTGTCTCCGCACCTGCTTTGCACAGCGGCTCGGATTTCTGAGCACTGCGACTGCAAGCTGCAAGCCAAGCTACGCTGATCTTGATATTGTGCTCGCGCAGCAAGTTTATTCTGTATCTCATGAGCTTGTCATAGTCTGGCTCGTGAGCAGTTGTTCTTTTCAAGCCTTCAATGCCAGTCTTCTTTTGGAGCTCCAGCCAAGCCTACCAGACTTCAAGTGCACAACATTGGGTCAACAGGGGTGTACAGCCAAGCCTCAAAGCCGAAAGCTGCCTGTGCCCTAGGCCAGGAGATCTACACCAAGATATGCCAAGCTTGAACTACTACTACCTTTCCCCTCAAGACCTCCCACCTCCGGCATCAGTGTGCCCTCAACATCGAGCACGACCATGACCAAGTCTCCTCAGTGGCTAGGATCACTAGGATCTATATCTGATCATATCTGCCGTCGTGTCATTGCTGTAGGACGGCGGCTACGTACAAGGTCAGTGCACTCACTGGTACTGTGGAGTGTGACAGCATGGTCCAGAAGGAAAGGCATGGAGCGGCAAAGCAGCCATGGCAGCAACAAGGTGTGTACAGCAGGGCCAGGTTAGGTCGCATCCAAGGTGCTTTCTGTGATATCAATGTCCTCTTCAAGTACATACTGGAGCTTCCGATCCCCCAAGACCTGCGGAGTGAAGATCCCACCGTTGGCGGGTGGATTTGTTACCCGATTCCGGCAAGATCTGACAAGGGCAAAGGTTCCAACTGTCCCCAGGAACAAAACAAAGAGCTTGGGGTTTCTCCTCTTTCACCGACAACAGCCACCCTTCATTTGAACTGAACGATATGAACAATCGTTTCTAATTTCTATATAGCCTGCAGGGTTTCTGGTAGGGTTGTAAGGCCTCGGCATGCAAAGCGTGAACACAAACCTTGTTGAACAAAAACCTCGCGAATGGGGAGGTACAGTAAGTGTCTACCCTTGCACTGTATGAACAACTTTTGTATGGGTGCGAAATTAAATTGGCATGTTTTTTTTGTCGTCCAGGCTCCCTTCCTTGGTTTTTGCAGTTAAAATCTCTCATTTGCTGCATTTTGTCGCTAAGGTCTCTCATTCGCACTGTTCATCAAGTTTTGGACTGGTTTCAAGATTTGTTCAATGGTTTTTACTGAGTTTTCCATTGCTTTCATTGGTTTGTCCATGATTTGCTTCAGTTTTTCCATTGTTTTCTTCACTTTTTCCATTGTTTTCTTCACTTTTTCCATAGTTTTCTTTAATTTTTCCATGGTTTTCTTCAATTTTTCCATGGTTTTCTTCAATTTTCCCATAGTTTTCTTCAATTTTTCCATGGTTTTCTTCCATTTTCCCATGGTTTTCTTCCATTTTTCCATAGTTTTCTTCAATTTTCCCATAGTTTTCTTCAATTTTTCCATGGTTTTCTTCCATTTTCCCATGGTTTTCTTCAATTTTTCTATGTTTTTATTCAATGTTTCCATGGTTTTCATTCAGTCTTCACTTGTTTTCATTTATGGTTCCAGAGTTTTCATTGATTTTTACATGGTTTTCATGGTTTTTTCCGAAGTTTTCATTTATTTTTGGAAATGCACGATGTGCAAACTATAAATTGTAGATGTAAAGAGGTATATATGCATGACTAATCATGACTATATGACATATATATGTCGATCAGTGTATTTGCACGTGTATTACATAAATATAAATAAATAAAAAATATATATATATATATGCAGGGTTTGGTTTAGGGTTTATTTAGGGTTGGTTTAATGGTTTCTTCTAGATTTGTTTAGGGTCTATTTAGGGTTGGTTTAAGGTTTTTTTAGGGCTGGTTTAGGGTCTGGTCAGGGTTTGTTTTGGGTTGGATGAGGGGTTATTTAGGGATACGACATGTACATACAAATAGCTATAATTACGTGGATGCATATCCATGCGCATGATTACTTATAGTTTATTTTGGGATCAAAACTGTGTATATAAACAACCACAAATATGTCATATATATATATGTCTGTATACCTATGAGTAAATATGTATGTGTATTTATATGCATACGTAAAGATACATACTTATATTTACATATATATATATACATATATATATACATATACTTATATATACATATACACATATATATATATAAATAAGTATGTATATATATATATAAGTGTGTATATAAGTGCAAGTAAATAAATATATATATATATATATGTGCCTATGTATATATATATAGAAATTAATATCAACATAAATATAGATATAGTCGAATCAAACTAGTGTGTTGAAAAATGTGCAAGTTTGAATTTAAATAATTAAAAATAATTAAAAAAAACGGGAGGGGGGATTGGGGGGAGGGCGCCGCGCCCCCCCCCAAAGCAGATTGGAAACACCTATTTTCACATGCAAGGTGCTGGGTTGAATGTGATACTGATACTCAAGGTGTACAGACTACACGACATGCACCCTGGAAACATGGGGAATACAGGTTAAGGCACAACGATGCACAATAGTTTCATTGGATGATATCATCGTGTTTGTTTAAGATCTCTTTGAATAAGGTTGGTGTACTGTATATTCTGGCTTGGTTCAGGGTTGGCTTGGGCTTTGAACATCATCTCGATGATAATGCAAACCTTTTAGTTAGATAGATAGATAGATAGATAGATAGATAAGATAAGATTAGCTTAGCTTAGGTTAGATTAGATTAGTTTAGATAGATTAATAGATGGATTAGATAGATTAGATCGATTAGATCGACTAGATCGATTAGATCGATTAGATAGATTAGATAGATTAGATCGATGAGATCGATGAGATCGATGAGATCGATGAGATCGATTAGATCGATTAGATCGGTGAGATCGATTAGATCGATGAGATCGATGAGATAGATTAGATCGATGAGATCGATTAGATCGATGAGATCGATTAGATCGATTAGATCGATGAGATCGATGAGATAGATTAGATCGATGAGATCGATGAGATCGATTAGATCGATTAGATCGATTAGGTCGATTAGATCGATGAGATCGATGAGATCGATAAGATCGATTAGATCCTTTAGAATAGATAGATAGATAGACAGATAGATAGATAGATGGATAGATAGATAGAATAGATAGATAGATAGATACATAAGACAGATAGATAGATAAGACAGATAGAAAGATAGGATAAGATAAGATAAGATAAGACAGATAAGATAAGACAGATAAGGTAGATAAGATGCATAAGATTAGATAGATAGATAGATAGATGGATGGATGGATGGATGGGATTGGATTGGATTGGATTGGATTGGATCAGATTAGATTAGAAAGATAAGATAAGACAAGATAAGATAAGATAAGATAGATAAGGTAGATAAGATGCATAAGATTAGATAGATAGATAGATAGATGGATAGATAGATCGATGGATTGGATTGGATTGGATTGGATTGGATAAGATAAGATAAAATAAGATAAGATAAGATAAGATAAGATAGATAGGTAGGTAGATAGATAGGTAGATAGATAGATAGAAAGATAGATTGCTATAGATAGATTTAAATAGATATAGACATAGATGTAGTCATAGATATAGACATAGATATGGACATAGATAGACATCGATAGATATAGATAGGTATAGATAGAATTAGAAAAATAGATATAGATATAGATATAGATAGAGATGGAGATAGAGATAGATGGACGTGTATCTAGTGCACAACATGCACCTGGTGAACATGCTTCACTGATAGATTGATCGATAGATGATAGATGAGTCATAGGAGCCAGGAGCCATAGAAGCCACAGAAGCCGCAGAAGCCACAGAAGCCACAGAAGCTGCAGAAGAAACAGAAGCCACCAGGACCGTAGAAGCCACAGAAGCCACCAGGAGCCACCAGGAGCCACCAGGAGCCACCAGCAGCCAGGACCCCCCCCCCTCCCAAAAAAAAACTGCAAAAAAAAATAGCCCTCCCTTTTATATAGGGTCCAGTGTCCGCTTGGCTGATTTCTGCAACTCTAACTGCTTGACTGTGCTGGGGAGGCCAAGCCGAGAATAGGCTGGCTCATGGCCTACGCTAGATGCCTGGCAATGGCTAGAAATGTGTAGCAATGCCTAGCAAGGTTGTTCATCTTGCTCTGGCAATCTGTTCCGGGACGCAGATATTGCATCTGGTGTTCATGCTCGCGGATTCTGATGGCGTCTTTGGTCGTCTTTGATCAGCTTGTGTTGTTTTTTCCCCTGGTTCTACGGGGTCACTTTACCTGCTTTGTTGCATTAAAAAACGTTCGGAAAAACAGCAACAACAACTGAAGGACCTTGCTGGCATATACTTTCACATAGTCTTTCTTCGTCGTCTCTGGCAAGTCTCCAAAATGATGAGCACAAAGATCATGATTTCCTTGGAATCTTTGAAGTACAAATTCTACAACTGAAACACGCTAGGATAGCCAATTCATTCATGACAGCGTACGAACCAAACCAATGAACGCCCAAGAAAATCGCGGAAATCTGACAGTCCAAAGGAGTGACTGCATTTCTTCGGGAGCTAAGCCGCACACCTTCTGCCTGCTTGTGATACCAGTCCTCACCCAGGGATACGGCCTTGCGGCATGAATCGCATCGCGCAAGGTACTGCCTGGATTCCAAGATGTACTCGTTCTGCTGGATGCCCAGGTCGCTGCTCGAGGCGATGTTCACGTAGATCTCGGAACAAAGTACGTGAAAAAAGGGTTTTTGCTCACCGCGTTTTGGGGACTCAGAAAATGATGGCAACAAAGGCCAACCGGTTTGTAACAACGAAAGAAACACATTCGGACGTGCGGGTGTGACCTGGCAAACATTCATTATTTATAGCTTTCTCATGGCTGGATGTGTTCCTAGCTGTCGGTGAATGCTTCCGGGTTGGGCGAGGGGAAACATGTTGTTTTCGGAACATGCCTGGCGCTCTGCTTCAGGCAGTTTTGCAAAGTCGCGAGCGCAAAGGTCGTAGTTGGTGCCGGGCTTGTGGTACCAGTTATCTCCACGAAAGAGGCTGCATCGGCAAGCGTCGCAACGGCAGAAATAGGTAAACTCTTCTGCTGGAGCTTCTGAAACTCCCATGACACGCCCCAAGGCAGGGCCCTGTGGCGGTCTCAGACCTAGCTCCTAAGTACAAACCCTGAGATTAGGATCAAGCCGAAAAGCAAGGACGCCAGGAAATGCTTCTTTTGAAAGCTTTTAGTGACTGGAACAAATTGGAACCATCAGCAAACTACACTATCTGGTCACCAACCATCCCAAATCATTTGCAAAGCAGGGCTTCGGGTTCAAAGTCAAGCTGTGACATGCTCCGACTCGCAAAGAGATATCCTGAGATTCAGCCCTGAAGTCATGACCTTGTTTATGTGATTTCATGTGCGGCTTTTTTCCCCTCATCCGGTGTGAGAAACCAGGAATTGATGCCTTGAGCCATGCAAAAGCAATGGCACAGCACCTGGGAGCAGGAACGACTTCTGGTGAAGCCATGTCCTTGCCCTAGTATAATTGCTAGATATTGCTATTCAATCAATATACTACAGCTGAGGAGCCATTGCTCCGAAAGCCACTCGCGTAGCATTTTATTGCGAGCTGGCAGGAGACGCCGCAGTTCCACATGTAATAGTATTGACAGTATGGAAATTTCAAACGCCAAACCAAGTCTCTGGCCACTTCTGCTGCTTGTAGACCGTCTTTCACGAACCAGTGGACTACACAGAGCTCACAATCTACTATGCTACAAGTCCGAATCTGAATCAGTTTCAGAGACTTCATCCTGCAACAATCACAGAGTGGAATACGTGCTTATAACATTTGCAATGCAACTGTTGCGAATTCAAGTAACGACTTGAGATAGTCAAGTCACGTCGGTACAAAGAAAGAGTTCAGCAGGAACCTCCTGCACAGGTCTGGGAGCTCAATTAAGCATGGCAGATGCTAGCTCTATCTACGTCCTGCTTTCACATGACATGCTTTCAGTCTATTTCGCCGGGCAGTGTCCTTCCCATGCAGCCATGTGTGAAACAAGACCTGAATCTC